TCAGCATCGACAAGTGCGGCACTTAGCTTCTCAGCGCCCGACTTGGCCGATTCAGCGTCCTTGAGGAGTTGCTCTATTTGGGCAGCCTGCCCCACCAGGGTGGAATCCCTGGCGGCAACATCTTCCGTTGCCCGAGCAAGGGCAGCTTCCGCTTCTGCCTTCTGATCCTTGGCCCTCTGAAGATCCATCCTGGACGCGTAGTACCGGCCAGCAATGATAGAAATCTGCTGGGTAGCCTGTGAAGGAAAGAAAAGAGTGTTAAAAACACAAAAATAGAAAACAAGAGTGAAGGGATCAAAACAGGAATAAACTCACCACCAGGGAATTCTGGATCATGGAGCGGAACAACACGTTGGTTGATCGCCCCCTATGAGCCTCCATGTCGGCCTCGAAATGCAGTGTCTCACTCACTGCATTAGCGACATGAGGATCCGACAGAATAGAATCATCGACCCTGATCACTCTGTTCATGTGATCAGTGGCTCGAGGATTCCACTCTGCGGCCTCCCCCCGAGACGGAACGGGAGGAGGGGTCTGCTGTTGCTGTTGCTGCTGCTGCTGCTGCTGCTGTTGCTGTTGTCGGGGCTGCTGTTGTTGTTGCTGTTGTGGGGGAGCAGGCGGTAACCCACGATCCCTCCCGCTTTGAGGTTGAGCGGGAGATGCCCTGGGTCCCCGGCTGAGGCCGTCATGCCGATGCTTTACCCTCCTCTCTTCTTCCACCTGAGGATCCCGGTCTCGCACCTGACCCTGACCGGGAGCCCTCGAAGAATTGGCGGAACTGGTTCCTGCCGGAGTACCGCTGGTCGTCCCTCGGCCTCTCCCGGCTGCGAGGGATTGCCTCTGCCTAAGAAACCCCAAATTGATGCGTGGGGGGTTGGACATCGCTTCCTCGAGAGCGTCTTCGGCGTCCAAAGATTGGAGAATTTGAAAATCCGGCCACAGGTCGCCTCCCGAAGTCCCCACCTCGGCGTCCGAAGGAGCAACGTCCTCTCTGACCCCGACCTCAGCAACTCCTTCTACCTCTCCCTCTGAAGCCCGATCCGGGTCTTCCTCCAAGTTCTGCTCGACCTCTAACCTCGCCGCCTGATCAAAGAGCTCTGACCACTGTGAAGGCTCGAAAGGTTGAGGGAGCTGTGAGAACTTCTTATACCCGGGGGTATAGTGCAGCAAATTATGGGCAGCTCGGCCAAATCCGTCGGCGCCCGTGAAACTCCAAACATTTATTAAGTCGGCAAAATTGACCAGCGACCGAGGGGGTGGAGCTGTTTCCCGAGAAGGAATACCTGCACAACAAAAAAGATTGTCATAACATGAGAAGTCCCAAGAAACAAATAAAAAGACCCAAAGGAACCGACGTACTTGTCGTTCTCCATTCCCGAGGGCAAAATAGGTCATTGTACTCGGGACCGACACCCCTCTCCCAACATCCCTTGAAGATCAAAATGTCGTCCTTGTACCCCTTGTCCGAGTCAGGAAGATGGGTTACAAGGTACATAGAGGGGTCCCTGGCTTTGAGGTAGAAATGTTGGTGGGGCATGACTCTTAGGAGGGAGTAACAGAAAAGGAGATCGTTGAGCCCAATATTCACCCCGAGGCGCTATTGAGCTCTAGGACCCCCATAATTATCCGAAAGACGTTGAGGCAGCATTGCCCGGGGAAGAGACGGAAGCGAGACAGGAACTGAAGAAGCAGGGGGGGTAAAGGAAACCTAATGCCACCCTCTATGATGGCCTTGGTATAGAAAGGCATGGCATCCGCGGCCCCGAAGGTAGGAGAGTTCAACAAAGGGTTAAAGCCCACTACGTCCACGCTCGGGGGGATGCCATACTTCGCCCTGAACCTATCGATCTGTACCTCGCCTGTCACCTTGTATTTCCCTGACCCCGAGGGACCAGCCGATGGATTCTCGGGAACAGGGCGACGACGAGGCATCTCTAAAAGAGGGAAGGAAAAGATGTTCTCACTTGAAAACCTGAGGAAGTTCCCCGAGGGTTTAAATCAAGACGTACCGACCGGATGACACCACCGTTCAAATCGGAAAACAAGAAGGCCAGGGGGACGATAAAGAAGAAGGTTGTGAAACTCACCAGAAGACGTCGGAAACGGAGTTTTTCAGGAAAAACTTTGAAAACGACTCGCACCGGAAGGACCAGGAGTCAACAATGGGCTTACTGACTGTGATTTTAAGAGAAGATGCTGTCGATGATGGCTGAGGAAACAGAAACTCCGGCGAAGCAGATCAGAAAAGGCGTATTCTGGGTCAGAGATCGGAAAGGCAAAACAATGGAAACCGGAGAAGAACCCCCTTTATATAGGGGGGAAACTGTCATCATTGGGCGGGAGAACCAAAACGGCGCATTTAATGCGCACGACATCCCAAGACGGGGAAAGCTGCTCGAGGCCATAATGAAGGACGGATGGCAGTTGGAAAACCCTTCGTCTCCTGACAACGCGTGTCCTCGGCGTCAGAAGATCGAAGGCTGGGGGGCAGTTGATGGGACTCTTCTGAAAAAGCCTATGATGAAGACACGTGTCCTCGGGGGTTCCTAGAACAATGTTGCTCGGGTTCAAGCACCATCGGCAAAAGCGTCCTCTCCCCCGAGGTACCTCTCATATAGGATCACATATTCGGTACATTATACAATGACATGTGTCCTCGGTCACCATGTACCTCGGGGAACACACCACCCCTTGGTCCCCCGAGGTGAGCCTTTCCTCGGCGCCGAGGGTCACTCCATCCTGGACGCTTCCTCTACTCCTGGATAAAGCTACTGACAAACTGGACATCAGCCTATGCCAGTATGGACTATTCATCATGACCTCTTCTTACACAAGTAATGTCAGAACGTGCTGGAATACCGACGTAACAGCCAATAAGGGATGGACGCGTGACAAATAATGTCACATCCGAAGCAGACAAACCGCATGCCGCTGCTGGCACGCGACTTGGGAAAGCAAACAATTAATTACACCCTTCTGTTGACGAGACCGCATTTAATGCGGTAAGGTTCGGATATGAAAGGCAATAAATGCTCCTATTACAGAGCATTTATTGCATCCTTCCCGAAAGGAGCATATTGTACCGTCGGCGTCCCGACAACTCACCATTGATTGCTCGGGACCCTGAGCAGTCAATTAGAGAAGACATTCCTCATCAAATGATTACACACGCTACCTGTGCCTGATGATCACCTACTGACCACACTGACAGCAATCATGATCTTCTAAGGTATAAATACCCCTCCCAAAAGACAAAGCGGGTATGCAATCACAAACTCTCTACTACGAAATATCCTTCTCAGTGTTTTCTCCTTCCTCTCTCTCATTCAAAGACTGACTAGACCGTCGGAGGGGATACGCCGGAAAACACTCCGGCGCCCTTCTAACTTGTTCTCCTTTGTTCCAGGAAATACCTTTCACACGTACAGGATCATTCTTCCTTTCCCAGGATCTTCCTTTGCCGTTCCAGGTTGCCACCGTACCTTGTAGGCTGTTTCAAGCAGCATGTTTGGCTACTCAACCGGCTCACTCAAAGTTCACCAGGGGAGAGATCTGTTCCCAATATTTTATATATCGTGCAGGATCGAGCCCGCACAGTTTACTTCCCAAAAAAGAAGAAGAAAATCACTTTCAAAACGTCACTAGATGTGTACTTTATGAGGGGAATCATCTTAAAGCCTTTTAGCTTTTCAGATATTCTTCGGCCAACGGCACATTTTTTTTTTTTTAAAGTCACCCCGTGTGGGTGGGGTATTTGACGGGACCTCTACTTATATATACAATTAAAAGCAAAAATGTACAAAGGGGAAGGATATAGAGCCAAGTCTCTAGAAATGAAAGAAAGTCAAAGCAAAATTAAGATGGTGACTCACCACCAAAAGCAAGAAAAGTAAATAAATAGAAAAACAAAGTGAGGAATCTCCGCAAAACAAAATAACTAAGAACATCAATAAAAATAAAATTCAACGACGAACTTGAGGAGTCTATTGAGCATCCAAGCCGAGGATGCCAGCAATTCCAGTGGGAAAGAATGACGAATCAGGGAATCAATTATTGAGCTGCTGAGAGCAAGCCCAACCACACGTTCATCTATTTTATTCCTCTAGTATCACTCTAAACTCAGTAGCAGAGCGATTACAGACAGATTAAGCAATAGTGCCCAAGTTAACATAAAATCATAGGATAAGAGTCATAAGACTATGATGCTGATCGGGTATTTTTCAGTACTTTATGATAAATTATTACAAAGTATCGGGTGAGATCATAGTAAAATAGAGTTGTTCAGCATTAATCCTATAATTATTCAATTTCATGTAACGGTAAATCACCCGACATGTATGACTAAGCAACTCACTTATAAATATGGGCCTCACTTGAATTTATGTGATAAGATCTACTACCGAATAAAATTGAGTGAAAGTGAATGAAGAGAATTTTGAGTGGTAACTTGACCCGGATGAGTTGTGACTAATCCCTATTCACTTGTATATTTTGTACAAGGTCGAGGTAGTTTAACTCATACATCATGTTGTAATTACACTTTGACCCCTCAACTATGAACTCTATTTCAAAGCTCCCCTATGTTATATTTTTCACATTACACATCCACCTATAGCTATTTGGTTTAACATTGCCCTCATTTCAGATGTCCGCTACAAAATGGATAGAAAATTGTTACATTATATTACCCATTGAACCATGTGATTTTGTTGCAATTTTGTCCTAAAATCTAATGCCACGTGAATATTTTTCATCAAAAAAATAACAAGTGTTTGACTTTAGGACTCTCTAAAACCAATTCAAATAGTTGAAGGACAATATGCAAATTGAATAATACAGAGACTGAATTGATGTCAGGGTCATAGTTTACAAATTGATGCAAAGTGTAATTTACCCTACACTAATCCTTATCAACTGGGTCTTATAATATTTTTGCGTGTCTATAAAAATGGTCAAGTGAACACAATTTTGTGGTTCAAAGTTATATGGAGCACTTTGCAATGAAACCCCATATACCTTTACACCAATTGCTTCTTTTGTTTCTCTTGATCTTCTTACCCTCTTCTGCTACAACAGCACATAATATTCCAAATCTTAGTCCACACAGAAGAACAGTTCTTATTGGTGACCTTGATATCATATCATCATCCATTTCAGAGGATTATGAAACCTTTTTCTTCACTCAAACACTAGATCACTTCAACTACAGACCTGCAAGCTATGCCACTTTTAAACAAAGATATGTGGTTAACTATAAATACTGGGGTGGTGCAAAATCAAGTGCACCAATCTTTGCTTATCTGGGTGAAGAAGAGGAACTGGATTATGATGTATTGGGTATTGGGTTTTTGAAAGATAATGCCCCTCATTTTAAAGCTCTACAAGTTTATATTGAGGTAAGGTTCACCTCCGATGATTTTGAATGTGATGAAGTTTTTTATATTGAAAGAAATGAAAAGCTCTGGAATTGGTGAATGGAGAAGTTACCAGCAAAAAACAAGACAAGAAAGAAAGAAAGAATGGAGAAGTTAGTCTTAGTAGAGTTAGAATTTATCAATAACCAACACTATGGGAGTTTTTATTCCATAATCTAACAATAACTCTATGTACATGTTAAGGATGGTTGGTTTTCTACTTCTGTCTAGAAAAGCTACCATCTCTTTCCCCTCTTTTCTTTTGGGTGTATTTGTTTTGGAGTATTTTTTTTGTTTATATTCTTTCGGTCAATAGAAATGAATTTTACTTACCGAAAAAACACTCTATGTACATGCCATAAACCTCGAGCAACTTTAGCCGCATATAAGGGGTAAGGGGTAATCCAAATCTTACATGTATATATAACTTTTTTTGTTCCTTCACAGCATCGGTTCTATGAGAAATCAATTCCATTTGGATCAATGGAAGTGGCCATAAAAAATGAAAGTATTCGTGGATATTTCAACTCAGCTCAAGCTATAGCAGATTATATAGAAGTACTATTATACCTTAGGAAAAAACTATCTGCCAAGACTTCTCCAATTATTGTCATTGGAGGATCTTATGGGGTTAGTAAGTACCTTCAAATTAATAACCCATTCACAAGCTTCATTTTTCACTTTTTCTACAGAACCTCTGAGGTGAAGTATTGGTTTATCTTTTTAATGTATACTCCGCAGTGCTTGCTTCATGGTTTCGGCTAAAGTATCTACACATCGCTCTTAATTGTTGGTTTTTTTTTGTGGAGTCTAATTTGTATATGTGATTCGGATGATGACTCGACCCGAAGTAATGTTGCGAGGTTTTTTAATGGGAATTTTTCTGAGGCTTAGTCCATGGAGCGAAGGCTTGAGCCGATAAACCCAAGCCGTAACGCTTATGGACAAGCCCCCGAGGAAAATTTTTGGGCCCGTTATATAGCCCAGTGCGCAAGACATATAAAATCCGTTGTTTTGGTGATTAGGGTTAATATTGTGGATTGTACAGCCGCTCTCTGTATTCAACTCTCTCAATAGTGAAATCCCTGCAACTTCGTGGACGTAGGCAAATTGCCGAACCACGTAAAATCTGTGTCTTGTTCTTTCTTGTTTCTTATTGCTTTATATTTTTAATTTGTTCTTCGATTGTATGTGTTTGTTAGTGAATTTAAATCGTGTTAAATCCCAACACATCGCTCTTGGTGCTTTGGCCTCATCGGCTCCAATTCTATACTTCGATGATCTCACTCCAGAAGATGGTTATTATTCGGTTGTCACCAAGGATTTCAAAGTAATCAAAACACACAATTTTTTTAAAAATATTGTTGCCTCAACTTGAAAACCTTGCAATGTTGATACTGAATGGGAATGGTTTTGCAGGAAACTAGTGAGAGTTGTTACCAAACCATACAAAAATCATGGTCTGAAATTGATAAAGTTGCTTCCATGCCAAATGGTCTTTCAATCCTCAGTAAAAGATTCAAGTCTTGCTCGTGAGTAGGAGGAGTTTTTACTCCTTTACTACCGTGTTAAATATTTATTCCTTATTTGAAGAAGTTATTATCTAGTTTACTAAACTATGAAAGTTTTGATGAAAACGTTGAATACTCTCATAATGAAAACTACCGTTGGTTGGGAAATTAGTTGAAAAAGAAGTTATTATAGGAAAAATTAAATTGAAAAGCGACGATATATTTTATTTAATGATTCTGAATAGCAATCTTCATTGTCCTTTTCTTGAACTTTTGTTTGATTGAGACTTCAACTTATGAGTTTCTTTTTTTTTTCTCCAGACCCTTAAACTGTTCTTCTGATCTCAAGTACTACTTAGAAGCAATATACTGTGTGGTAGCTCAATATGAAGATCCACCATCATTTTCGGTCAGTCAGATCTGTGGCGGCATAGATGGAGCATCTGAAGGAACTGATATTCTTGATCGGATATTTGCAGGAGTTGTTAGTTTACAAGGGAATCAGCCATGCTATGATGTGAATGAAAACAATGATGATAGTGAGACTGATGTAGGGTGGGGGTGGCAAGTAAGTTGCACATACATATCATCATTATCTTCTCCATTAGATGAAATTTAAAGTTTTGCATTTTACTGGTTGATTCTTTGAATCATTGATATTCTCTTTCATGGTTTTGTATTTAGACTTGTAGTGAAATGGTGATGCCCATTGGCCGTGGTAGCAATGACACTATGTTCCCATTGGCATCTTTATATTTAAAGCAGTATTCTGAGGACTGCAAGAACATTTATGGAGTCCCACCTCGGCCTCATTGGGTGACAACCTATTATGGGGGCTATGTATGTTCTTATGATTTATCCTTGTCAAGTATTTCCAAAGAATTTAGGGAGTTCATTTCTTATTCAGTAATTGATATTACTTAATTTTTGCTAATAGCTTCTATTTTTCTTATGCATCTTGGTAGAACATAAAATTGGTACTCCATAGATTTGCCAGCAACATCATCTTCTCAAACGGCTTGAGGGATCCATATAGTAGTGGCGGGTAATTGAAGAAGGTAATTTTCTTATAAAATATGTAAACCAATATAATTCGTTGACCTAATTTTATTGTTTTTACTGGAGTATAATCATAGGGTGCTGGAGGACATATCAGATAATGTGTTGGCCGTCTATACAGTTAATGGTATGGAATCAACTCTATCTATTAAACATATATGTGACAATGAAACTATCGGAAGTCACTTTTAGGCACCTTACCTAAATTGCAGCTCAATGAGATCAAAACTTGCATCCATTTGAACCCTAATTTGATTGTTTTGAATTGTAAATATTTACAATTTTTTGGATTTAATATATATCAAATTAGGTACCATGGTTTTCCTTTATAAAGCAGGTCATTGTCCCATTAATTTCATGGGAATACCACTAATACAATATCAACTTTGCAGGATCGCATTGTTTGGACATACTTCCAGCAAGAGAAAGTGACCCGCGATGGTTGGTCATGCAACGAAAGAGAGAGGTGGAGATCATTGAAGGATGGATAAAACAGTACTATGATGATCTTGCCTTCAAGAAATCAAACAACATGTCTAATAACTGAGACAACACAAAAATTAACGAATAAAATAGTTTGCTAAAGCAAAACCAAGAATGATGCATCAACTGCGCTATTCAAAGTTTTAGAATCTGTCACTGGATTTTCACTTCTCTTAGCCCATAAAAAATGTGTTCTATACAAGATAACAGACAAGAAATTGAGCGATATAAAAAATATAGCACGTGCATATTTACATGATGCAGATTGAAAGTTTGTGTACAAAACCCGTTAGCAAAAGTTCACTTTGAACATCTCTCTAAAATGAAAGTAAAATATCAAATGTTATATCTGCCACGAGTTTACAACATTTATAGTACTTAAATATCCTGTTGGCAATAGAGATCAAATTAATTGTCAAAAGTTCGATGGGTACGAATTGGATAGATACAAGACATCCACGCCAAAATAAAATTAAAGGGTGTCAATTACACTATCTACCATTAATAAAATGATTTTGAACTACGTACTTCATCCGTCCTTTGAAATCTAAACCTATGGGGAAATGATTAACTGGAATGATATTGATGATTGCAGGATGCTAGAGAGACGTGTTATCACCAAACAACCCCATTTGTCTAAAGCTTCCAAACAAACCACCAAACACCTATTGCCTTTCCTCAATTCCTCATAGGCCCACATAATTTTTCTTAATTATGTAACCACATGGCCACAGCTCACTCTGATGCATCACAAACTAAACATTTTCTCTAGCCATTAATGAAGGGGATCTTGTATTTAAAGAAGGGGCAGTAAATGCTGTCAATATCCACACAGAGCAACCACTATATGCTCTGACTCTGGCATACTTCAAACTTCAGGTAGCAATGAATCCGCTCTATCAAATTTCATAAATGAAGGAGATTGCAACAACAAGGAAGAAGCCCTCCATAAGAACAAGAATGAAATTTGCAGAGACCTCTCATTCCCAGCCTTGAACGAATCCCAACACGAGCGGTGTCAAGTGTAATCCAACAGGTAATGCCAAATGCTCCAAGCAATTACGATCTGGTTAAAAATCAATAGGCAAACAAGGACTCCAACAAATCAACTCCCTCCTGAAGCCAGGTTTTCAAACAAGGCCAGACGGGAAACTCAGCTAACCAATCAAGCTTCAAACCTCAGGTAATGAAACTAAAATTTTTTGAACCACTAAAGGAGAATAATATATTAGTAGTGCATCCCCAAGGTGTTGGGATTTAACAACAATTTAAATTTACTAACAAACACATACAATCGAAGAACAAATCAAGAATATAAAGCAATAAGAAACAAGAAAGAACAAGACACAGATTTTAAGTGGTTCGGCAATTTGCCTACGTCTACGAATTTATAGGGATTTCACTATTGAGAGAATTGAATACAGAGAGTGGCTGTACAATCCACCATATTAACCCTAATCACTAAAACAACGGGTTTTATATGTCCTACGCACTGGGCTATATAACGGGCCCAAAAAATTTCCTCGGCCCAAGCCTTCGCTCCATGGACTAAGCCTCCAAAAATTTTCTATTAAAAAACTACGCAACATTACTTCGGATCGGAATCATCATCTGGATCACATATAAAAACTAGACTCCATAAAAAACCAACACAAGGAGATTGCAACCGGAGGATGTCTAGAATGGCAGAACATCCTAGATGGATATTTCATTGATAAAAAATTGTCATACTCTACAGTCAGCTTCATTGCTCACAAAATATGGGACAAATTTAGGTTTCTTGAGGTGTTAGCAAATGAGAAAGGCTTTTACTTTTTCAAATTTATGGATGATGAGTCAAGAGCAAAGGTGTTAGAAGCTGGCCCCTGGCTATTCTCAGGCAGGCCCCATATTCTTCGAAAATGGCTGTATCTATCAAGAATGATCATTCTAATAGCCCTCTCTGGGTTAAAATTCACAAGGTATTAAGTTACATTGCAATCACCATAGGGAAGCCACTGTATACTGATTCACACACTGCATCCAAAAGAAGGCTAGGTGGAAATCAATAAGGCAGTAGAAACTATGGAACTTCAAGTGGAATATCAATGGAGGCCCAAATCATGTAGCACTGGAAATTTTTTTGCACACAATGATGCTACTAGCCAAAAAATCGAACAGAGTGAACGTAAAATCATGTTACATTACATCAAAAGCAATACATTGGTTCATGACTCAATTTTACTATTGTACCTTGTAAAAATATTATTTGTGATGATATTTATTGATAATCATTACGTCATATCTTAAATGGAGGAATAAATGGATGATGACACTATCATAATCTAATTTTTATAACGGTAAGTAATTAAATTTTGGATTTTATGACTCAAATAAATTTTTATAATAACATTGTATGGCAGTTGATTTTGAAAGGTCCTACATGACAAAATGTCATTAAAGATGCTAGGTGACTAATCCTATTGAATCAAATTATTGACTACCCCCTTCCCTCCCCTCTCAATGTAAAATTCTGATTTTGTCCTTGATGGAGAAAGACATGCAGTGGTGGAGAGAAGATATAAAGTGGGGCCTATCTCCATTCCTACCGGTTAGAATGACAAATTGCAAGTAATGACTCTCTTTTTGTTTTTCAAATAGACGTGAATCTCGTCATTTTAAACGATGTTTTACTCATTTTTTGGTTGTTTAAACATATTATTTGGAATGAAATTTTTATGTTGAAAACTTCATTAGTAATGACATTTTTGTAACAATAATCGCGTTTAAAATATAAGTTTACATCTGCATTCTTGTGAAAAATAAATGGACCAATGCATGTGATCGATGAGAAACTCCTTTGTACTGCACGCATATAAAGTCTAAATTTGAAGTTTGAATCTTAACTTGTCTTTAGTGTATGGGCGCGAAGAAAGAGGTTGGTTTAGGATAATCATTGAGGAGATAGAAAAACAAAACTATCTTCAACAATTAAAGTATATAAAGCATAGTAATCAAACCCTTTCAGTCACTTCCACTGTTAAAAACAGACAGAAGAATCAGAAAAATAAAAGTTTAATGGGCAAATTGAAATAAGTTCCATAGCATTTCCGTTTTACAAAATTTGAGAACTGAATTCAAATAATTGAAAGTTGATAGAACATTTTAACACCAGGGACGTAGTTTGTGGGGGCATCTATGATATTTACCCAAACAAAAGTCATTTTGTGTTGAACTTGCTTTGATGGAAAATGAACATTGGAAAAGGAAGTTATTCATACAGTTAGTTGTTGGTTATATTATTGTAGGTGCACATTTCTAAGATAATTTTTACGGTCCAAAAAAGGCTCATATCTATAACAGGATTTTAGAAAAGTAAGTTATAAGTAATTTTATCTTCATTTTACAGAGGTTGATTATGGAATTAGCATCCACAATATATCGTTTACACTGATATTTTAAAGTGAGATAATATTATTAAGTGATATGTTCAAATAAAAAAAGGAGCATTATTATTTATTGATGGGACGTTCTTTGTTATGATCTATTTGGACGTACTAGAAAAATGAATCCATCTTGTCCATATAAGGGAAAAAATAAACAATTTGCATTTGAGTTACTACACATTCGACAAGAGAGTCAACTAATTTTGGGTTCTAAAGCTTTAAGACAAGATAAACTAGAGATGTAATTTGGTCCACTTGGGTGTGTCAAGAGTTGAACTCAGATTAGAGCAATGTTACATGAATTTAAAAATTAGACTTAATAATTATAACTATTGATTTCATTGTAAATTCTAGCATTTATTGAGACCCACTACCTATTCAATGGTTGAGTTTATCAAGTTTAATTTTTAAGTCTATATAGCATTACTCCTCAGATTAATCCAAGTTATAAAACTCTAAATCCGAGTAAAATTCCAATTACTTCAATAGCAGTATTGCTCTGGTTTATTTTTTTGAACTTGGGTTGAACAAATCGGGTTGAAGTTTGAATTTGATTCGTCATGTATTCTTCTACTATATATGCTATGCATAATGGGCCTAGGCCCCAACATTGTTACGTCCACTCTCGAAATCTAATGCGTAACCAATATTTCTCTCTTAATTGTATATGATAATGTACGGGCTTGTTTATTGCAATCCAGATTTCAAAACTTCGCTATGCTTCTAGATGATCCATCGACTCTTTCAAGTTTCAAGAATATGTTTATCATACAATTATCAAAATGGTATAAGCTAGACAAGACAATCAGATGGATAATTGGGGAACTCATCTGAACATATCAAGACAATAAGCTAGACAAGGCCTTGCCACTCAAGTAAACCACACATAAAGTTTGAATTTGAAGTTTGTATCCTACCTTGTCTTGTGTATAGGCATGAAAAGAAATGTTGGACCAGGACAATCATTGGTATAGGATTTCCTTATAGTAAAATCTTCTTGAGTGATGGAAAGTTCTTTGTTATGATCTATATGGATATGTACAAGAAAATGTATCTATCTTCCTACTTGCAATAGAATAAGAGATTTGAGAAAAATAAATGATTAGGTGCCCATGGTTGACTAATATAAGCTATTGTACTCATGATTCAAAAATGCGGCAATATGTAGAAATACTCGATACAAAGAGAAATTTGACACAAAGATAGATTCAGATGAACTCGTAACGTCAGACAATGATATGTGCTAATAAGGATAATTCAAGAATGATGCGGTAGACAACTCGACAGAGATGTCACCGAGTAAATCGCAAGTTAATTAGAAACTCGTGATTTATACGAAACTTGTGCTGATCTCAGAATCGTATCATATCAGCTGATATTTTGAGTCATGGTGTCAGTTAAAAGGTGATCTAGCTCCGTCAATGGATGCAATCAGTGCTTTACTTTGGTTGCTTAAAAGATCAAAAATCTTAACACCCACAAGTAATGTAGGTTTTTCTCTAATTCCCCATGCATAATTTAGCAAAAGATTACTGCTCGAAGAGGAAAGTTTCAAACGCTATGCATTCTGAGTACAAACACATATTCGGCAGGAGAGTTGGCTAGTTTTGTTTGTTTTAAGGTTAGGAGAGGGAAAGGGAATTAAAAAAAATATTCAAATAGAGAGTTCGCAAGTCCATGCATGAAGTTTTCTAACTAATTAGTTTGTTGTTTGCGTTTGGCGATGGTGAACCATGGAGAAATTTTTGTGTGGATTTAACACACCACGTGACACTGTCAGATGGTATACATAACTAATCAGAAGTTGTACATTCCTAAAAAGATACCGTCTTTCATCATTTTGTTAATTTTTTTTTGAAAAAGAAGCAACTTGTGTGCTTGACATGACATTTTTTTATTGGATATACACATTACATGACGCTATCACGTGATGTTAAATTCACTGTTAACTTTTTCCCTAACCGTGGGTGTAAGGTAACTATCATGGTGTATCAAATTACACTACCAAATCAGATTTTGTGACATAAGCGGAAATAAATAATGTACTGTTTGTTAATGTTTTTTTAAGCCCAAAAAAAATCAGTAAAATAATAACCACTTATTTAATAACTATTTTAATACATTATACTTGATAGATAAAGTTTCCATAAAAAAAAGGATCAAAAGTTTATAAACATGGTGCATACAAAAACAAAAGGCTAATTAGAATCTTTTACAAAAATGTACGATTAATTAAAGCTTTTTACGATTATTCTGATATGTTGTCAAAATTGAAAAGATAAAACTTCATAATTAATGCTGTCGAAAAAAGTAATTCTAAACCTATACAATCAAGCCATCAATCATAAATGGATTACTCCTTTTACTAATGATAATCTTTAATTTTGTAATTTGTTTTGAAAACTATCTCTCAAATATTATCAGATATCAAAAAAGAGAAACTAATCATTAACTACAACACAAGCGTAACAATACCACAGAAATTCAAATGAAAAATAAAAAAACAACAATCAACACTCGATCAAAGAAAAATAGAGACAACTTAGTCATATAAAAAGTAGAAGTCAACCTAGGGTTGCTACTCGGGCAGATTGGACGGGTTGAGAGGTCACTCTAGGCCAACTATAAGTATATGATCTTCAACCCTAACTCTAATTCTAACTCTACCTCAACCCGAGGCACTTAACCCGAGTACTGTCCGAGTTTAATTCGGGCAAGCTCGGGTTAAATTCGAATTACTTAATTCAGACTGATTTCAAATTAAAAATCAGGTTGGGCTTATATTACTTAATTTTGGTTGATTTTTTGAACTGTAAATTTAATTTTTTCAAGTGTAGATCTAATTTTTCAAATGATTTGAGATGAAGGACGAGCACAAATGAAGAGAGAGGGAATGAGAGAAGAAGAAAGGACGAGTGAGATAGGGAGGCTGACAGTTTGAGACGACTAAGACGAGTGACAATTGAGAGATGGAGGAGTAACAAGTGAAAGAGAGATTTAAGAGTGATGGAAACGCAGGAGTGAAGACTTAAAGTGAAGTTAAAATTTGTACTCTAAAGGGTGAAGATAAATAATAAACATAATTAAATGTATTTATATATTTATGTATATTCGGATTCAAGCCGATTTTAATATTCGGATTAAACTCGACATCCTAAGGCCTTTATCTAAGGCTTGCCCAAATTTAATTTAGATTGGAATTTTTTTGCACAAGCTCATCTCAAGTATTAAAAATTTTAATCATCTCAAGTATTAAAAATTTTAATCTAAACCCTGTGTTTTTGAGTTGGGCTTGGGTTGAATTCGGGTTGGCCTATCCAAATTGCACTCCTACATCAACCACAAGTTAAATTATAAATAATTTTATGTTCAATGAAAAACATAAACCCAAGAAACTCGTAAACAATACAAATCAAGGTCAATTATACGAAATTATAAAATAATAAAAAGAAATAAACGTTGAAATTACAAGCAAATGGCAGCTCATATAGAAGTCTTACTGAAGAAAGAAAGAAAGATAGAGAATGGGCATAATAAAATATATTTGACAAGAACTTAATATATATTGATAATTTTTAAAACAAATTCAGGGTGGAGACCCTAAGTAAGAGAGTGGGCACAATAAGAAAAATTGACCAATATTTAAATATATATAATTTTGTTTTAAAAAAATCGAACAATTTTGGCTCATAGCTAGCTCGACAACAAATACAATAAGAGTTTTCCAATTTTAAAATTACTTTCAAAACGTCATTGAATGTGTGCTTTATGCATTTTAAAGGCTTTTAGCTTTTGGAATATTAAACTGCCGGCCATAAAATATATTCAGCTAGTATCTGTATTACTCTAAAATTAGTAACATCACAGACAAAGCTACAGTAGCTGAAGCCAACATAAATATTGGGTCAAGCTAGAGTTTGACATATCAACCATATTTGTCTTTTCTCCCACTTACTCCGTTAATGATTGGCCTTATATTATATCAATCAATCATACATATTTGTTATAAATTAGATAATATACTTTGTTTTGTTGTCTATCCCTCGAACTATGTGATTTTGTCTTAATGTTGTTGGAAGTAGTGATGACCCATATTCACATTCACGGAGCCTAAAAGTCTAACGTTTATTATTAATTATTGACCGATTTTCAAAACGAAAATTGTAATTGACACTACATCTACAATACCTTATCATCAATGTATTACAAAATTGTGTGTGCATGTCTATAAATAATGGGCATGTGGAAGCCAGTGGAACCAACTTTGAGCCCTCAAAGTACAACTTGAGAAGAAAGTTATATGGAACACTTTGCAATGAAACCTCACACACCTTTACACCAATTGCTTCTTTTATTTCACCTGATCTTCTCAATCTTTTTTTCTGCCATGGCATATAATATTCCAAAGCTCAGTCCACACCCAAAAACATTCCTTCGTGACACTGGTATCAGATCAACACCCACTCCAAAAGACTTTGAAACTTTTTTCTATACTCAAACACTTGATCACTTCAACTATAGACCAGAAAGCTATACCACTTTCAAACAAAGATATGTGATCAATTGGAAATATTGGGGTGGTGCAAATGCAAGTGCACCAATCTTTGCTTATCTAGGTGAAGAAGGGTCATTGGATTATGATCTAGCGGGCATAGGGTTTTTGAGAGAGAATGCCCCTCGCTTTAAAGCTCTACAAGTTTTTATAGAGGTAAATGCATGTGGACCTCTTAACCTCCCATGATGTGGGCAAGAAATCATCACTTAATCCTCAAATCACTAAAACCAATTAGGTTATATATCAAGTTTGAATGCATCGATTTTTCACTAGTTTACGAGTCCCTCTAACCAAACCATTCATACTAACTGAAAAATTCAACCTAAATATCTAATTTACACTATGATGCAAAATCCATGTAAGTATGCATTACTTAAAAACAATTTCCAGTAAATACGTAGTAATATTTATACAAATAAATCCATGTGATAAGAAAATATAATGTATGAGATAAACAATGTAATATTAACCACATGCAACCTAGAATTTCTTATCCCATATCTTACCACTTATTGTGACTTACAATATACATCGAGAGATTTTAACCATATTTATCCCAAAACTTATTGCATGAATGTAATAAACACTCTATATCCTCAGCAACTTCCTCTATATTAATATGCAATCTTTGAAGTTTTCATGGGTAAGTGATTGTCTAATTTTTTACGTATTTGAACCTTTTCTTTTTCTGGTCAGCATCGGTTCTATGGACAATCTGTTCCATTTGGATCAATAGAAGAGGCTATGAAAAATCATAATATTCGTGGTTATTTCAGCTCAGTTCAAGCTATAACAGATTATGCAGAAGTGCTAATGTACCTCAAGAAAACATTATCTACGCCTAATTCTCCCATTATTGTCATTGGAGGATCTTATGGGGGCAGTAAGTACCTTCAAATCATCAACCACAAGCTTGAATTTTCACATTGGTTATTGCAAATCTAATCTTATCTATTGGTTTATCTTTTTTCATGGGAACTTTATAGTGCTTGCTTCATGGTTTCGACTAAAGTATCCACACATTGCTCTTGGTGCTTTGGCCTCATCAGCTCCAATTCTTTACTTCGATGATATCACTCCCCAAAATGGCTATTATTCAGTTGTCACCAAAGATTTCAAAGTAATCAGAACTCAAATTGTTTTTAAAGAACTTTGTCAATTAAACTCTAAAACCTCACAAGTGTTCCTGAATTGGGATGGTGTTGCAGGAAGTTAGTGAGAATTGTTACAACACAATAAAAATGTCATGGTCTGAAATTGATAAAATTGCTTCAAAGCCCAATGGTCTTTCAATCCTCAGCAAAAAATTCAAGACTTGCGAGTGAGTAACACATTTCCCTTTTGAGTTACTTTGTAATTAATGGGGTAGACATTATATACTTGTATTTCTTTTCGGTTAATGAAATCATGTATTTCGCTTTGCCGAAAAAAAGAAGAAGAAGAAAATAGACTTCATTGTCCTCTTCTTGAACTTATTCAACTTGAACCTCAACTCAGCATCTCTTTTTTTTTTTGTCCAGGCTCCTAAATAAATCTTCTGACCTCAAGGACTACCTTGACTCAATTTACTGTGGGGCAGCTCAGTATGACCATCCGCCACGGTATCCGGTGACTCAAGTTTGTGGCGGCATAGATGGAGCATCTGAAGGAACTGATATTCTTGATCGGATATTTGCTGGAATGATTGGTTTAGTAGGAAATCAGTCATGTTATGATATGAGTCAAGATTATGATCCTAGTGAGTCAGAGTGGGGATGGCAAGTAAGTTACAAATTCATATCAGCATTTCACTTTCTTAGGTATAGTTTGATAATGACGTTTTTCAAACCTTCGCTATCTTATTTTTTTGGTTTTTTAAATATTTTTCTCAACTAGTGTTTGTTTTTATGCCTACTTTTTTTGTTTCTTTTTTTCATCCGAACTTAGTCCATCCTTCTAACCCTAGTTGCATGTATAGTAGTATATAAAAGCATATATAATATATAGATGTTTTATTCATGATCTAAGATGATCAGTTATGCTTTTACTTCTACGAGAAGATTGATTTTTACTAACAAAAACTTTTTAAAAAAGGCTTACCTAGTGGTACATTAAACTTCACCATCTATGATTGTTGAAGTTGCATCCAAAATGTTGAAATTCATCATTCTTCTCTCTTCGATAGGATTTTTTCCTATACACTTCTACTGTCGATTATTTTCTGAATTATGTAATTATATTCATTCCAAAGCGACTGGTGGTTTGTTTAGACTTGTAGTGAAATGGTGATACCCATTGGCCGTGGTAGCAATGACACTATGTTTCCATCGGAACCTTTTGATTTAAAGCAATATTCTGAGGACTGCAAGAACATTTTTGGCGTCTCACCTCGGCCTCATTGGGTCACAACCTATTATGGAGGTTATGTATGTTCTTATGATTTATCCTTCTCAAGTATTTCTAAAGAATTTGTGGCTTTTATGAATTTATTTCTCATTTAGAAGTTGATATTACTTTAACTTTAATTACTAAGAACTTATACACTCCAATTTTCTTATGCAACTTGATAGCACATAAAATTGGGTCTCCATAGGTTTGCCAGCAACATCATCTTCTCAAACGGATTGAGAGATCCTTACAGTAGCGGAGGGTAATCGAAAAATAAAAAGACATTTTGGTTTTCTATTAAGATATGAAACCAATCTGATGACCTAATTTACTTGTTTTTATGTTCTCTAATCATAGGGTGTTGGAGGATATTTCAGACACTGTGTTGGCCGTCCATACACTTAATGGTATGGAACTCTCTCTCTCTCTCTCTCTCTCTCTCTCTCTCTCCATCCAATATAATCGATTAGGATGGCTCTGACATTTTTTTGGTTAAATTAAGATGGCTCCAACTTTGTTGATGCTATTTTATAAATATCGTGACACTGAAAATTTAACCAATAAGTATTTTTCATTTCTTTAAGACATTAAAAAATCAGAAAGAGTGGAATATCGAAAGTCACTTTTACGTATTGTATAGAAAATTCTGGTCAAATGAGGTTTAGAAAAGTTGACTCATAAAACTTAAACCATAACTTAAGATAGAGTAATGTAAGAACCTACAACTTAGGTACCATGGTCTTCCCTTTATAAAGCAGGTTTTTGTACCATTAATTTCATGGGAATAATCACTAATACAACATATTACATATATAATTTGCAGGATCTCATTGCTTGGACATACTTCCAGCAAAAGAAAGTGATCCCCAATGGCTGGTCATGCAACGAAAGAAAGAGGTGGAGATCATTGAAGGATGGATAAAACAGTACTATGCTGATCTTCTTGCCTTCAAGAAATCGATCGAAGAACATGTCTAATAATTGAGGCAACGTGAAAATTATCGAATGAAATAGTTTTGATAAGGCTAAACCAAGAATGTGATATCAAACAAGGTATTCAAAGTTTTAATAAACCTCAAAATGATATCTATCACTGGATGTTCACTTCAATTAGCCCATAAAAATTGCGTTATGTGCAAGATAACAAACAAACAACCAAATGAATAAAAAAAATACAGCAAGCATAAGTTTATATGATGTAGTTTGAAAGTTTACGTCCACGGACGAAGCACATCATTAAAAAGTCACTACCACATATAAAGATTGCAACGAGTATATCTCAAATGAATGAATATCAAGAATTAAAGACTAAATGGAAGAGTTTCTTTGAAGCTCCAGCCCTAAACAAGAACTCGAGATCGAGTAGAACTGACCCCATCAATGCTAGTTCGATTTGGCCTATGATTTGTCCATCAAATGTGCAATTCCAAGTTATTATGAAGTTCAAAATGGTAACTGTCACTAGATGTTGGTACCCCCAAATGCTGACTGGTAAAATTCCATCAAGACGAGGACAGAGATCTTCATAACCTCCGAAGAGACTACTTGTGTAGACCGGGATTTTCCCTAAAAGATAAGTGACATGCTAGAATGACCCTAATGACTAAAGGGAAAATAAGTGAAAGGAACTAAAAATCATGTTACATATGTGGCTTACATCAAAAGCAATACATTGGTTCACGAATCAATTTTACTATTGTATCTTCTAAAAATATTATTTGTGAGGATATTTTTTTGATAGTCATTACATCATACCTTAAATTGAAGAATAAATGGATGATTACACTATCATAATCTAATTTTTATAATAGTAAGTAATTAAGTTTTGGATTTTATGACTCAAACGAATTTTTATAATAACATTGTATGGTAGTTGGTTTTGAAAGGTCCAGTTAGATATGAGGACACTAAGAAATCTAAGGAGTAAGGACTCTATCAAGAGCATAACTAAGGAAGGACTCAAATCTCCTCCATTACCCATTCCATTCATTAATCCCTCCAATACAGTGTTAGATCGACGACGACATGTGTAAAATTTTGGATATTAATGAACAAAAATTTTTCTTTGGGAGAAAATTCCTTAACTATAATTAACACTCCACCAACAATAAAATAAATAAAGAAATATTTTGTTCATCAAAATTCAAAATTTTACACATGCTAATCTAACACTGTATTTGGAGCGAATTGAAGGGAAAGATAATGGGGTGGGGATCTAAATCCGCTAAGGACTCTATGAAGAGCATAGATAAGAATTATATATCTGGTGATGATATTGGATCAACTCATAAGACACCTACTACAATGATATCTTCAGCTGATGATGGTGACGGAATTCAGCAACATCAATGGGAAGACTACTCCAATAGATAACTTCTAATGATTTGATCAAATCCTTGTATTCTGATTAGATCATTAAATCTAATAAGTTTTTAAAGTAAACTCTTGTATCTTAGGCTTGTATAAGTGGCATATATTCAATATTCACCTCATCGGTTTTGGTAGGAGTTCTCCCATCAATTGTTTTGATTCTCTACATGTCCTACATGACAAAATGTCATTAAAGATACTCAGTGACTAATCATGTTGAATCAAATTATTGACTATCACGTTGTTTGACATCCCTCCCCCCACACCAAAAGTATAAAATTCTGGTTTCATTCCTGATGCAGAGAGACATGCAATGATGGAGAGAAGAGATAAAGTGGAGCCCATCTCCATTCCCAATGGTTAGAATGACAGATTGTAAGTAATGACTCGCTCTTTTGTTTTCCAAGAGGCTTGAATCTCTTCATTTTAAATGATGTTTTTACTTTTTTTTTTTTTGCTGTTTAAACATGTCATTTGGAATGATATTTTGTTTTTTAATTTTGAAGATGTCATCAGGAGTGGCTTGATATGTTTTGAGGCATAAAGCAATAAATTTAATTGAGAGTGTAAATTTTTTAATATTTAATTTTTTTTCCAGATGCATATTAATTCTTTAGTATCCATATTGAAGTTTTTCTAACATATCTTTTTTTATTGATAGTATAACTAATTGACTTAATTTTTAAATTAAATAAAAAATTTCAAAATTTTCAAATTTAAAGATTATTTGACAGATTATGTTTTCTCGTCATTGACATTTTTATAAAATTATTCTTCTATGAATTAGACATTATTCACGGAATATATGTTTGATTAAATTTTTTAAGGTTATAATAAAAATAGCAATATTACATCGACTTTATTTAGTGATCTTATTTGATTACCTTGTCATTTTTTGTCAATAGATTGACAATGGATCTTACTATTAGTTGGGTCTCACTATCAATTCTACACCTATGATCTATCATGTCACCCAATAAGATCACTAAATGAGGTACAAAAAATATTTTCTTTTTTTTTCTTGTAAAATGTTATTGGGTGAGAATAATGGATCGAATTTTTTTGGCCCAAAATCAATCTAGAGTTTTTTTTTCGTTTAGGTCTTCAATGGAGCTTTTTCCTTATAAAGCAATATTCATGGGTTAAAATTGACTTAGGTTATGAACTTTTAAAATTTTGGGGCCCACTTTATTGGTGGGGCCTAAAACCACCGCTTCTTCTCCTCCACTGTCGGCCGGCTTGGACGTCATTTGTAATGACATTTTTTAGTAGTAATCGAGTTTGAAAAATATGTTTTCAACTGAATTCTTTTGAAAGATTATTGGGCAAATGCATTTGATAGATGAAAAACTCCTTTGTACTGCCTGCATACAAAGACTAATTTGAAGTTTGAATCTTACCTTGTCTTTAGTGTATGGGCATGAAGAAAGAGATTGGACTAGGGTAATCATTGATGAAATATAAAAAGGCAAATATATCATAGATAACTTCCGAATTATGTCTCCCTTTTAAAATACCTCATAACTTTCAATGTTTCATTTTAGTCTTTAAAGTACATAAAACACAGTAATAAACTCTTTCAGTCAATTCCATCCATTGTTAAAAACAGACAAAAGAATCAGAAAAATAAGAGTTTAATAGGCAGATTGAAATAAGCTTCGTAGGATTTCCGTTTTACACAATTTGAGAACTATGATATTTACCCAAACAATAGTCATTTTTGTGTTGAACTTGCTTTGATGGAAAACGAACATTAGAAAAGGAAGTTATTCATGCAGTTAGTTGTTTCTGAGCATGAAACCTGACCTCCATCATAAAAGAAACATTAGTCACAAAAACAATACGAGAAACAAGTTGAAAACCGGTTGTACTATGGTATGCATTTCTAAGATATATTTCACGGTTCAAAGAAGACTCATGTCTATAATAATATTTAAGAAAATTAAGTTATAAATAACTTTATCTTTGTTTTATAGAGATTAATTTTCAAATTTGAATCCACAATATATCGTTTACACTGATATTTTAAAGAGCATGTAGATAAGCGTGATAGAACATTATTTAGTGATCTGTTCAAATAAAAAAAAAGGAATATAATTTAGCGATGGAACTTTCTTTGTTATGGTCTATTTGGACGTACTAGAAAAATGAATCCATCTTGTCCCATATAAAGGGGAAAAATAAATAATATGCGTTTGAGTACCTACACATTCGACAAGAGAGTAAGCTAGACTGCTGGACTGTTGCTTGTCTGTTTTGTGCTATTATGCCGGACTGCTCTGTTCTATTTTTGTGCAGACTTCTCTGCTTTATTTTCCTTTGTTTGCTCCTTTTGTAATCTTTTGTTTCCTTTTGCAATGGGACGGTAGATCTTCTGTCCAACTGTCTAGAAGATAGTTCATCCCTTTGACTTCATCTTACTTACCGAAAAAAAAAGAGTAAGCTAGTCTTGGGTTCTAAAGCTTTGGGGGGAATCTTATTTTGCCCTCCAAAAGATTTAAGATTTTTTATATTACACCTTCAATATATTAAAAATGTTGCAAAGTAATCCTTATGTGTTGCTTCTGGTGCTTATTATGTTAAAATCAGCCCATTAATGTTGATGGAATGAGTAATAAAAATTAAGAGTCTATTACTCGCTGGTTTCTGTTATTTGGAGAAAAAGATTGATATAATTAGATCCCATAATCACTGCGTAGGATATACTAACTCTTGTCTTTATGCGAGATAATGTGGTCTTCTCAATCAGTTAGAATCATGAAGAGAATATTTTGTCATTAGAAGATCTTTGACACTGTTCTACTTATCCTTCTAGAAACGATGAGGCGTCATCTTAGAAGCGATAACTTTGTGTCCAAGGTCGAGCTGGTTTGTTGGACCCAACTCTTCCTTGGGTGTGCATATACGAGATTCTGTAGTCATCGGCTAGGCTGATTAAGTACTATTTGGTAAACTAATAGAAGCTCTCCTTCGGAAGTGTTGTCAAGGCAAGAAGCTCAACCTGGCTAAGTTTTATAATTGAGTTGCACGAGATCATGTCGAGCTTCAATTACGTAAGCAATGGACTCATTTTTTTGACTGGTCATGCCTACCTTGGACTTTATGGTCGGATTATCAAAGTCAAGTATGGAAGACAGAGTCTAATTTTGATCTATGGTATCATCCTGGTCCATCTAGGATGTGTTATGCCTATGCACTTGCATATATCCATATAGTGTATTATATTTGTAAGTTTTGTTGCGATTTAAACATTCTTGGTGTCAAGTTTGGTATTTGGATCTGTATTTTTGTAAGTTTTATGTACATTTTGTGTATTTAATTTGGGATTTTGTGATTAAAAATTTTTGAATTTGAGATTTAAGGTTTTTGGAATGTGAATTGGGAACTAATTACCAAGCTCGTTTCTGACTTGGGCTCGGTTCGAGTTTGTGCTGAGCAGAGCTTGAACTATAATCTAGGCACGGTGTTCAAGCTCGAGCCAAGGTTGAATAGTCGTTGAAAATCACAAGTCGAGCCTGAGCATACCGAAGCTCGGAAGGCTAGGCTCTAAATTATTGGAGGCAGCAAAAATGGAGGGGGTGGAAGGGGGGTGTTCGACGGATCCGTCA